GTCTCTCTCTCTTCTCAAGGTCTCAAGGTCTCTCTGTCTCTCTGTCTCTCTGTCTCTCTCTCGTTGACACATGCGCACACACTCACACATACACGTACACATCTACCCCCCTTCCCCCTTCCATTTCTCTCCTGAGGCACATGCACACACAAACACCAGATGGCCCTTCCCTTTGTCTCTCGCTCCTTTGTCCTGACCGCCTTCTTCTATTGAAACTTGTGCTCTTCTTTCCTTCTCTTCTTTCCTCTCATTGTCTGCTCACCTTCTCTCGGTGGTCCGAAGTGTCCAAGCACTAGCCCTGCCAGATCTTGAAACAGTCTCCCTCCTGTTGACGTCACCAGTTGCATGACCATGCGATCCACTCTATACGACGCTTCATCAACTGCAGTCCGGGGTAAACAGGGCAGACACAAATGACAATGGCGAACAACGCCAACACCCAACACATAGTAGGCAAACCGAGAGACGTTATTACTGACCTCACTATGCCTGTATCTAGACTGCCCCTTCAGTCCAGGTGAAGACGGTAGCTTCGCCTCATTATATGGGCACAGCCTCAACACTCAACACGCCCTTCACTACCATCTTCACCCGAATAAAATGCCCGCCCATTATACCTTGTATCTAGACTGAAAGTCGGCCCAAAACATACAGGTATAACGACAGGGCGTTCTCTCGGGGTGACGACGGTAGTAGCTTTGCCAATCACCTAAGGGTCAATCAAGATCCCCTTAAAATTGAAATGAAGCGAGAATAACACCATGATGATACTTAAAAAAAAAAAAAAAACATGATGATACTGTGTCCTTCGATACATCCGTTAAAATAGGAACGATACAGAGAAGGTCACACGTTCTCTACCTCAATAGATGTCGCGGAAAATCAGCCCTCTCCGAGTTTTATTGTCCTTTCCAACCATCTCTAGTTTGAAATAGGCAACAAAAGACAAAGTGGCACAGGTGTCACGGTGTGACTTTCGAAATGTGCAAGTTTTTATTTACCTGCAGACTGCAGTGGCCCTTGGCAGATTTAGGGGGGTCCCCTTCTGTGCTCCATTCTGGGAACTGCTGAAGTTGACGTTGGCAGCCAGCCATTTTGGTCCGGTAGCATCAAACCCCGTGTATCTGGCCGAATTCGAGCACCAGATACAGGTGGTTTCAAAGAGATGCAGCAATTATGAAGAAGAGGAAAAAAAAAAAAAAAAAGGGAACTCTGACGTTTTCCGATGAGGTTGGCAGCAATAGCAGTATGATACATCCCAGTCAGGCCGTGGTCTGAGTGTACCCTCAAAGGAATGCGCCTGTATCTACCCCAAAACGGTAAAAGATTCATGAAAAAAAAAAAAAAAAAACAGCAAAACAATGGTCCTACACTCAGAAAGGCTGGCATCCCCGTGAAAACGGGCGCCTTTCTCTTCTGGCCACGTATCTCCACTTATTTTGCTGGCAGTCCGTGATGACAGGCGCCAGTAACTGGTTGGGGGCTGCTTGCCCCCAGAGGCATGCCCCTCGATGCATAAAGACTGCTTTAGACGGTAGATACATGCACTGAGAGGAACGGGCTACCAAGAACAGTCGAAAAACGCCCTGCCTTGCTGGCAGGACACCTAAAACGGAAAGACTCTTTGAGCTCCCTCGAATATGGACCAGGAATGTGGCGAAATCCATCCAAAGGAAACCCAGAAAACCTAGAAAATGTCCTTCGGGACATCCATTAAAATTGGAACGATACAGAGATGGGAAAATTAGCAAATGGCCCCTGCGCAAGGATGACACGCATAAATCGAGAAATGGTCCAAATTAAAAACAAAAACAAAACTAGGCTACCAGAGTGGCCCGGGGTCACTTGCCCGGCCGGGCCAAAATAATAAAAAAAAATTAAAAAAAATAAATATTTTTGAATTTTATTTTTTATTTTAAATTTGGTGAAGAATTTCGATGTGACCCTGAGGCAAAAGTTGTTCAGTTTATTGTTCTGCATAACATAGTTTTTTTTCCGAATTTTTGGATTTTTTTTTTTTTTTTTTTGTCGATCCTTACCTGATCCTTGCACGGGCTGGCCACCCGGGACCCGGGCGGGCCCGGCTGGTAGCCTAGACTTTTTTCTTTTTTTTTT